GTCGGTCCTGGACAAGGAATCTGTTTGATGGGCCCCTCCAACAGCGGCACAGCACACAGACGGATACCTACGCGGGCTTCCGGCCGGCGATGCGAACCAACTGGTCACACAAAATCGATGGGTCCACTCCGGGTCCCTGTCCGTACCTCCCCCCGATCCCACACCCGGCTGGGATGCGCCCGGGGGAGTCGCCCAACTGTGCTGAAGGATTCGGAAGCAAATTGGTAATGACGGTCCCTTTAGGAATGCGAAGTCAGAAGCACATGGCTAGGCAGTCTCAGAGTTTCTCGCCGTGCCCACTTTCCGAGTGCGGGGTTCCGTGCACTAGGCGTGGCTTCGAACTTCGGCATGTCGAAAGGGCAAGGGTCCAAAGGGCACGCAAAGCGTCCCATGTCGATCAGTGGCTAGTTCGGAGAGCTCTATAAGAATCAGGCTGAGCTCCTCGCTCATGTAGCTTTGCAAAGGACTTCTGCCACATTTGCTATCTCACTCCTTCTCAAAATCTCCGTCAACCCTCTTCCGCCTCTCCGTCGACATACCTCACAATTAAAGTTCAACCATGACGGACACAACCAATGGCTCGGGAGGCTTCACCGTCCCTTTCCTCATCGACGGAGAGAAGGTCTACCCTGAAAAGACTTTCGAAGTAGTGTCTCCCGCTACCGGCAAAGCTGTGCACAAGTGCGGAAGTGCCACCGAGAAGGATGCCATCGCAGCGGTTGACTCTGCCGCAAAGGCTTTCAAGAGCTGGCGCAAGACGACACCGAACGAGCGCAGAGACATCTTCCTGAAGGCTGCTGATATCATGGATGGCCGCAAGGAGGAGTTGTCCAAAATCATGTGCGACGAGACTGGCGCTGCCAAGGGCTGGTCTGACTTCATCCTCGGCCTCGGTATTGGCTGCTTCAGAGACGTTGCCGGACGTCTTGTGACCGTTGAGGGCACTGTCCCCGCAACTAGAGATCCAGACGTGAGCGCTATGGTTCTGAAGGAACCCTATGGTGTTGTGCTTGCTATTGCGCCTTGGTATGCCATCCTTATCGCGGCATGAGTGACGTCTCAGCTAACCCCGCTGGCAGGAATGCGCCTTATGTCTTGGGCGCAAGAGCGATCGCGTTCCCAATCGCTGCCGGAAACACCGCCGTCTTCAAAGCTTCAGAGCTTTCCCCGCGTGTAATGTACGAAATGGCCGACTGCCTTCACCAGGCCGGTCTGCCCAAGGGTGTCCTGAACGTCATTGTTCACGAGCCCGCCAACGCCGCAGTCATCACCTCGTCACTCATTGCGCACCCCGAAATCAAGAAGATCAACTTCACCGGCAGCACCAATGTCGGCCGCATCATTGCTAAGCAGGCCGGAGAGCACTTGAAGCCCGTACTGCTCGAACTCGGCGGCAAGGCCCCGGCTATCGTGTGGGAGGATGCCGACCTCGACCTCGCTGCCGGCCAATGCGCCGTTGGTTCATTCCTTCACGGAGGTCAGATCTGCATGAGCACAGAACGCATCATTGTGCACAAGAAGGTCTCCGAGCAGTTCCAGGCCAAGCTCTCCGAGTCTATCAGCAAGATTTTCTCATCAGAGGCCGACGCGCCTGTGCTCATCAATCAGCTTGCCGTCGAGAAGAACAAGAAGCTCATCAAGGACGCCGTTGGCAAAGGCGCCGCCGTCGTTGCTGGCAATGTCGAGGCAGAGGAAGTATCCAAGACGAGGATGCGTCCCATTGTCATCAAGAACGTCAACACTGAGATGGACATTTACAAGACCGAGTCCTTCGGGCCTTCGGTGTCACTTTTCGAGGTTGACACCGAGGAGGAGGCGCTGAAGATTGCCAATGACACCGAGTACGGTCTGACATCTGCCGTCTTTACCGAGAACCTGCGGACCGGACTTCGCTTTGCCAAGGAGATCGAGTCCGGTGCTGTTCACATCAATAATATGACTGTCCACGACGAGAGCGGTCTGCCCCACGGCGGAGTCAAGTCTAGCGGTTTTGGTAGATTCAACTCGATAGGTTTGGACGAGTGGGTGAGGACGAAGACGATCACCTACCGTAACTAGGTTTCTTCCACAGCGAAAATAGAATAATAATTACACTCCTAGAGTTGAAGTTTTCAAAGTCGGCGTATCATCATCTGCTCTAGCCGTATCGCCGTGAAGTTTCCACTGTGCTAGCTCATGGGTGTCAACACGTGGCTCGTCGCCTCAACGCTCCTCTTTTCTACGAAGACTATCGGTTGACTAGTTTAATCAACATTCCCGCTTTGGGTCGACACACGACGATCCTTAAGATCAACGGTTGAACCTGCATCTTTGGCTGACAAAGATCTGCGGGGGATTCTTCAGCAATTACACTATCAAAGTCAAGCTCTGGGGCATGTCACACAGCCGATCGATTGCTGCAAGCTGTACCAATCGCCACGAGATGTGTTTGGCTCTAACAAATAGATAGCCTCAAGTTGCCGAGGTTCCAAGCCGATGGCCGTTGAGGGCTCAGTGCGCGCGCTTCTCAGACAACAAGGTAAGCCAATAGTCCGCCGTTGAGTGGGTTGGACGCTTAGCTCCGAAGCTTGTTGTCTCGAGTTCCCCTTCATGCATAGTCACTTTCTGCCAATGACCTTCTAATCGAAACCAACCAAGCCATAGATTTCCTGGCTGTCGTTGAAATTGGAACTGACTGATTCGGGGCAGTTGATGCTTGACTGATACTCAGATCCAGCGCTGCATGTTCCCGGCAATGGTCCCCTAACTCCCCGACCGCAAGAGCGACTGACACAGTCGGACTGTGGATCCTAAACTCCCCTAACTCCCCTGGCATTTCGACTTGAGATCGAAACGTTGACGAGATCTTTCGAAATTCCATTTACCAAAGATGCAAAAGATTCAACGGTGAGATGTCCGTCGAAACAAGGCTTGGTGCTTGCAAGATGAGGGTGGTGACATGGGAGTTTAGGACAATGGCCGTTCCGAATACTGATAAGATAAGCGATAAATGGTCTGTGCCGCTCCCTGTGGGAATTTCGACGCTAGCGTGCTTGTGTGACGGAGCTGCAAGATCCCAGCATCACAATTTCACGAGCTTTCAGACTTTCCTGTGCCAAATGGCATGACGTCCAATTGGCGACACTTTGCGCCATGCTTCCCGCACGGGCGATTCGACCAGCTCTTCGAGTGATCCCGAGTCTGCAAAATGCATCACTGAGACCTCAACCGCTACCCAAGAGATGGTACTCCGACAAGAAGCCAGCCGCGCCCGCGGATAGCCCCGACGAGTACGACCATCGCAAGCTGGGCGTCCAGCAGGAGCTGTTCACCACGTCCGTTTACAGCCCCGGCTCCCCAATCTTCCTCCCCAACGGCACGCGAGTCTTCAACCGCCTGGTGGACTTTCTGCGACGGCAGTACACCCACTACGGCTTCGACGAGGTCATCACACCGAACATCTACAAAAAGTCCCTCTGGGAGGTGTCAGGCCACCTGCAAAACTATGCCGACGACATGTACACCGTCACCAGCCGTGCGCGCGCTCCCGAGGCTGCGGCAACGAGCTGCTGTGGTGATAGAGAGGTCCCCCAAGAGGGCAAGGGTGCTGAGAGTCGACTGGCGGAGGGCGAGGACCAAGACTATGGCCTCAAGCCCATGAACTGCCCTGGACACTGCCTCATCTTCGCCTCGAAGAACCGCAGCTACCGCGACCTTCCCATTCGTTACGCCGACTTCAGTCCTTTGCACCGGAACGAGGTCTCTGGTGCCCTCAGTGGCCTAACGCGCGTGCGACGTTTTCACCAGGACGATGGCCACATCTTCTGCCGACCGATCCAGATCAGGGAAGAGGTCTTCAAGACGCTCGACTTCATGAAGACTGTATACGGGGCACTAGGCTTGGATTATTTCGATTTCGCGCTTTCCACCAGACCGGCGGATCATTACATCGGCACCGATGCAGAATGGGAGCGCGCAGAGGCGCAGCTGCGCGATGCTCTTGAGCAGGCTGGGCTGAAGTACACGATCAAGGAGGGAGACGGCGCATTCTACGGGCCAAAGATCGATGTCATGTTGCGTGACTCTGACGGCAAGTCTCACCAGGCTGGCACCATCCAGCTCGACTTCCAACTCCCTCAAAGATTCGAGCTTGAGTATAGCACACCTGCGCCAAAACAAGAGGCCCAGGGCGTGCCATTGGAGGATGTTGACGCGGCAGAGCTGGAGCAGAACGGCTTGGTGACGCCCGTACTGATTCACCGCGCCATCTTGGGATCCGTTGAGCGTCTGATGGCGCTCCTGATCGAGGAGTACAAGGGCAAGTGGCCTTTCTGGTTGAACCCACGCCAGGTTGCAATCTTGTGCCTCAACGACACGGAGCCTGTCTTGCAATGGGCTTCGGAAGTCAAGAACGTCCTGACGGGCCACAGTCATGATAGGGCAAGGCAGCCGCATCCGACCGGCTTCGCAGTTGAAATTGATGCCAGCAAGCGGCCGCTATCGAAGAAGGTTGCAGAGGCGCAGAGCAAGCAATACAGTCTCTGCGTTGTGGTGGGCCCCAAGGACGTCGAGAGCGGAACTGTTGCCGTGAGCGACCGGGGGGCCGGCTACAAGGGAAAGGCCAACATGAGTCCCGGTGATCTGCTTGAAAAGATGAAAGAAATGGCGGCGACATACCAATAGACTCACAACTGTGTAAAAACGTGTACAACATACAACCCCTTCGAGGAGGCTGGCTTGGCATTGGGAATTAAAAGTCATGATGCTATGATGCCAATGAATTAACAGCATGAAACCCTCCTTCATTAATCATTTCCGATTATCGCGCCATGAACCTGCTCTTGCTGCTCGTCTCCATCTCCGACCTTCAATGTTGTCAAAATTTGATGCTTGGCACAATAGCGCATCATATGTCGAACGCCGCAAAACCCCGTTTGCCAGACTATGTAATCAATGCACTGTCATCGCATTAGCACACGTGAAATAACGAGAAGGGACGCTGCTTGGGCTGACAAACTGATTCAGCGCTTGAATTTCTCGTCCACCTCCACGCCGCTATTCTCGAGGCGCTCAACCATGGCCCGCCGTTCCGCGAGTTGATCGCGCATGAACTCGACGGTCCTCTTCAGAACCAATCCCTCCGAGCGCCCCTGACCCTCAAGACCCGGGACCAGTTCAGTCAACCTGTCGAAGCCCTCCCTGATCGCCTGGCGTCGCTTCTGCTCTGTTCGTAGAATGTAAGAATATGAGTTTCACGCCACGATCGCGTCCTCGCCTCTGAGTTTGCAGCTCTGAACAGGAGGTTGCGTTCTGTACGGGTTGAAATGGCAGAATTGGGGAGAGACTCCATACCAGATGCGATGTGGTTCTGCTTCTTCTCGGCCTCGGTCAGGCGAGGCTTCTCCTCAGGCTGGTCGCCATCAGCGGCTCCTGACGGAGAATTGGACTTGTTGGGAGAGGACATGACGCGCGCAGGCAGGCGATGAAAGAGACGAATCAACTAACAGCGCAAAAAGGTCTCGAATACGTTGTGCAGATTCATGGGGGATGGTGTGTCGTTGAATCCGCCCGGGAGGGACCGCGAAGGTAGTTGAGGTAGTGAGGTAGGCAGTAGTGTGTGTTTCAACGATCACATGCGTTTACGCTTTGCGCCAGCAAGAAGACCTGGGTGTCTTATGAGATCTGAGTCCCCTCCCCCCCTTGCGCATTGTCGGACTTGCAGCCCCCCTGTCAACTTAGTTCCTGCAGCACGTTTGTTTCCGCGCCAGGCAGGGCTGGCACGGCGGCAGCTGAGCGCCCCTTCGCCATTAGGTATGACGGCTGATAAGATAAGGGAAAGTGGATCTGGCGGGGTTGGCATGTCGAAGTCGTGGCCGTGGGTACAGCGTCTGGGCGGTGACGGCGTGCCTTCCAATGAGCGCCTCCGGTGTGTCATTGCCCATCCAGAATCTGGGAATCAAGAAATCCCACCCCACAATTCCGACAAACCTCCTCTCTTTCCGATAGCTGTGCTTTTCCCCCCTTGCCATTGACAAGCTTCGAGACACGGAGACATTCTCAGCTGCGACCTACCTTACCATCCAACAGTCCCTCGGCATCTTCCTGTTCCCCCCAAATCTCCGCACAGACGTCCCTCCTCCAACATGTCAGACGACGTCAAGACCTCGCTCCTCTCCGACCCCCCACCGGATTACTCCAAAGGCTCAACCGAACACGGTCTCCCAGCCGGTGCCGCCGCCCGGCCACCACCACCAGCCGGCGGTCCCGGCCCCCGCGCGCCGCTGCCACTCAACCTCCCAATCATCACTTACCTCAAATCCAAGCGCGTGGTCCTTGCCTCCGCTTCTCCGCGACGCCGCCAGCTCCTCGCGCAGGTCGGCCTCACGAACCTCGAAATCACACCCTCCACGAAGCCCGAGGACCTCGACAAGTCCGCCTACGGCCCCTATGAGTATGTCGCCGCCACCGCGCGGCAAAAGGCGCTCGACGTGTACGAGACGGCCCTGCAGACGCACCTGGCATCGATCCCCGACCCGGACGTCGTGATCGCCGCCGACACGATCATAGTCACCCGCGACGGCCGCGTCCTGGAGAAGCCCCGCAGCGAGGCTGAACACATCAAGATGCTGCGCCATCTGCGTGATACGAGATTGCACCGCGTGCTGACGGCCGTGTGCGTGATTGCCCCGAGGGAGGACGCGCGGTCGCCCGGCTACGAGATTGCGACACATACCGAGGAGACGAAGGTGTACTTTGCACAGGAAGATAACGGTCTGCCGGATGATGTCATTGATGCGTACGTCAAGACGAGAGAGGGAGCTGACAAGGCTGGTGGTTACGGTATTCAGGGCATAGGAGGATTGGTGCTTGTGGAGAAGATTGAGGGTAACTTCGATAATGTGGTTGGCCTGCCTGTAAGACAGACATTGGCACTGGCAGAGAAGGCTGTTTTCAAGCAGGATGAGGAGGAGGTGGCTGAAGAGGATGACGAATGAATGGGTGATGAGAATGAAAAGATGGCTCACGACAGGCCATGATATGAACCTACAGGCGGGCGCACGTGGGAGTAGCGGAATGATGATTTGGCAGTTAGCCAAACCTCCGCGCTCAGTTGCGTCGATGGTTTACCAGTAAACTGAACCAATCTCGCCGAGGCGGTCATCAGCTTGATGAGACTGAAGGTGCCATAAACTTTTTTTGGTGAGTACATATAGAGGAAAAATACAAAAGTTTCGGTCGGTCTTTGAAAAGCAACACGTACGAAGCCGGGAAGGATGTGCCATACTGGCCCTATGAGAAGACCTCGGCGTACGTTTCGCCGAATCAGAGCCAAAATCAGTCTCAACATGACATCAATTGGACAATAGTCTTGCATTTCAAGTTGAATCGTTGACATCTGAAGCTCTTTGATAAGTGCTGCAGGTAATTCTATGCCCAAATCTTCGACGAAAGCAGACACACTCGACTGACTGAGGCTATCTGGCAATGATACACACCAACCAAATATCATGGTTATCCAGACCTCCTGTAGGCGAGCTTTGACATAATCGTCTTAGTCTTGTTGCTACCTGGATTACAGCAGCATTGTGTAACACTCGGGCACCCCGAAATACCAATTACATATCGATGCTGCAGGCTAGCTTAAATGTTGTCCCAATGGGGTGTGGACATGCCGCATGCCCCCTAAAACATATCTATCTGTGTGTACCAAAGTCCCGTCGTGACAAGCCACATTACTTGAACATCCAGCCTACCTGGAAAGGGCTTAAATACGGGTGGTAGATCCATATGGCCGCAGTGTCATCGACCCTTCGCCCATTTCCCGGCAAGGCTTGGGTGCATTGAGGTTATTTAGACAGCTTCCACTGTTACACAAAAGCATGCACGGTTCCCCAAAGTCCCTTTCGTTCACGATATTGCCGCTTGGCGCGTGCCTCCCAGCAGGATTTTAGGGCTTTTTATTTGCCAAGACAAGACTGTATCATAGGTCTCCCAAAGATCCGCTCCTGCGGTCACCTTGGCCTACTCTTTGGCCGAAACTTCGGTGCGTAGGAGTTGCATGCCGTCACAGCCTTACCTAGAAATTCTGCGGCTCCCCAAAGTTCCTTTCTTTCAATAACTTATCAAATTGATATCTCAGGAGGAGAAACACCATGGTGACATCGCTTGCATAAGAGGTATCTGGCTCGCCGCTCCAAAGCATCATCATGCTGTTCACTTGTAAAAGTCAGTAGCTTTCAATGGTGAAATCTATTAAATGCAATCAAAGTTACATCTTATATCATCCTCCTTTATTGGTTAATTCGAAAGATGCCCTCCAATCAAAAGAGCTCCCCCGAGACATCGTCCAAGGATGCTCCCAAGACAACTGAGAACCTGACCACAGCTCAATCACCACGTATGACCCGATTCCTGGTTATTTCACCCGCTTCATGAATCTAATCAAGCGGACCAGGCTCATCAGAAATGCTCTCCGTCTGGATCAACGGGTCAAGCGAAAGCCAGACCTACGACGATCCATGGAGTCCTATGCGCGCCGAATCGAACCCTCGAGGCAACCCAAATACGAGCATATGAACTGAGTCAACTGATTGGATGAAGAACAACAAACCGACTAGAATACTTTTCAGCCTTACGTGGAGACTGAGGAGCCGTTGCTTTCTAGATTGCAGAGTAGTGAAACTTGGTTCGCTTTGTTGATTAGGTAGTTGTAGCAGTATACGTGCCAAACTGTTGAGAATCTAAATAATTCCTTGCTGGAATATTTGGCAAGATGCTCTTTTGCGTCATGGGAGATCCAAATTTGCTAGCAACTGATCATACCAGCCCTTCTACCCCGTTAACCAGTTTCAGAGAACATGGCAATACGGAAGATAAGGCTTCTAGCCTTAGCCGCCGCTATTACTGCTGCATCTTCCGGCGATCCTAGCCAATGACAAAAAGCAATGATGACGGTCTTCCTGGAGAGATCTACCTCGTAAACTTAATCTAAGTAGGATGTCACAGCGTTGATGCGTGACGAATAAGCAATGGGATGTGAATTCTTACTTCCCACTTCCTTCCCATTCCCATTCCCATTTCAATACGAATTCTCCCTAAGACCATTCGGATGTACTTGCGTCAATGACCGGGTTACTTCACGAGGATGCTAAGAAACTTGCAAACACTTACCTAGCCTCTCAGAGGCAGAAAGAACCTCAGAATTTGTTCCTAGGATATCAAGCTGACAAATTGGCTAGTCTTTTCTTGCTTGACTAGAGTTCTTCAACCACTTGAGGTCTCGCTGCTCTTCACGATTATAAGCATTCAATTCGCCCTGATCGCAGCGATCTTGACTGCTTTTAACCATGAGATATTAAAAGTATTCTACATCTACGCCGCCTTTCGTGGCCCTGAATTCCCATGTACTTCTCGATCAGACCGATCCGCGAGATCCGTCCCAGTACGTATCCCAATGACACTCCGGCGCCAACCTCGAACCTCGAAGGAGTGGCCAGCTCTCATTTCCCGAAAACTGTCCCATCACAAGTCGCATGGGCGCAGGAGAATGGTCGTATAACTTGCACAAGTCGCATTCGCACATGCATGTTGTTAGCCCAAAAGGTCCAGGGTCTGTCGGAAGACGTTTTTGACAGGTAAAAGAAGCCGCTGTCATATGCAAGATCTTATCCACTAAGGCAGGCTTCATTAAAATGTCTTCGATTCAAATTGCCGTCAAAATCCCAGCGAACCAATCAGCCGCGAAAGATTTCCTCGATCGTGATAGTATGGCCCGCTATGACCTGCTGGACCAGCCTCTCCTGCAGACATCGAACCGAACCACAACCTTTCTGGTCTCCATGTCCCTGAGGCACACGAAATCGGGAAATCAGGCAATCTCGACTTTAGCCCACGAAAGAAGAAAATATGGTAGCCTTCTCTGCGATGGACAATAAGGCGTACGAGCAAAATCGGTAGCTGAGGACGATGGCCGCATAGAATAAGGGGCAGTAGCACGCTCTGCTATTGGAAATATTATATAAAAGATGCGCAATAAACCATACTTGTTCATTCATGACTACATGATTGAAGGCAAACAATTTCAAATAAAAAGTCTGGCCCAAAGCCAATTCTGTCCGTCAACCCCTTCCTCGGAGTCATGCCTCAGCAGCCCGAGAACCGACCCGTGGCATCTGCGAACGACGCTCCCGGAAGCTGTAAAGAGCGAGGCGAAACCCAATCCAACAGTGTGTCCAAAGTCCCTATATCCATGATGATGCTATAGAGACTGACGATCTTATTGCCAGGCTCGGCGAAAATGCTCTCTGTCTGGATCCAGGGCTCGAGCGGGATTGGGCCGTATGCAGACCCTTGGAGTCCACTGATGGCTAATACAGCTCCTCGGGGCAGTCCAGACGCAAAGATATAACCGCAAACGAGATGGACTAGGAGGGAGAGAATGGGCTAACACAGCTAGACAGTGATAGAGTCTGTCGTTGTGAAGCTGAGGGGTATCAAATGCTCAAGATATCTTTACCATCATCTGGAAAATCGAATGGCCTGAACATACGTGTTTCAGCGGCGCCGAAGAGTGCCACGTCTTATTAATATTAGTGAACATCATTATCATCGCTTCTTTCGTGTAAATCAGGCTTCGCTCCAAGACGCCGTAGGTCGCTTGAGAGGATGAGCCTGTGTGTTGAACACCCATTCATCCAAGTTGATCATCTCGGGATCCGAAAAGATGAGGTAAAAGTACTTCAGGGTTTCAGCAAAGAAGAAACTCTCCATACTGTCCTCTTGTCGTGATTGCGAGTAAGTGACGTCAGCCACAACAGCGTGAGCGTCGTCGGTCGCTGTCGCTTTCTGGATGGCCTGGAACATATCCCATGCCATGTCCAGCAGATCCTCTCGTCCAGTCACTCTGTAAAGAATGAAGAGGCTTTCGATGGCCTCGGGGCGCAGATTGTAGCGGGGATTGTCGATCCTCCAGAAACCCCTAGGAGAATGACGGCTGCTCTGGGCCGCCCACTTTTGTTCATCCCATGGGCATCCTTCAATCGTGTCGCACTTGACGATCTGTGACTTCTCAGGCATGATCCCACTCTTGAAAGACCTGTAAGCCCACACACAACCCCTGGTCAGCCTATCGCCAACCTCGACGTCTTCCGGGCTCTCGAAAAGCTTGCCAGCCATGGCAAACATTCCGCCAGCAAAGCAGGAAAGGTGTTCAAGTTCGGCGATTTGGTCGATCTTCAGAAGCTTCTCGTTCACAATGGCGGTTCCAAGCAAGAGAACGTCGTCCATTCTGGGCGTCATTGGGCGGTATAAGAGTTGAGCCTTGGCCGCCTTCGCAGCGCTCCTGTACATCCTCTCATAAGCCGGGTCGAGACCACCTAGAAGAACGTGCATCTTCGGCAGATACTCGTAAAGCGAATCTCCATCTCCGCCTAGACGGAAAATGTTGTTCGGGGTCTGGAAATCGTCACGAACATTGATGAAGTTGGGCCACAGTCCTGGTAGCAATGTCTCATTCTGGATCTGGTCGAAAGCCGTCTTGATGCGTTCGATTGCGTCGTAGAACTTGTGCTCTCCCGTGATTTGAGCCAATCTTGTGAATTCCAGTGACAGACTGCCTATCGATGCAGCGCTCTGATAAGGATCTGGTAGGACCTTTCCGGCTCTGAGGTCCGCAAAGTTGAACGTATAAGGCGGGAATCGATTCGGGGTATCAAAGGCGGCGTAGAGCATGTTCGCCAGCTCAATAGCCTTGTTGAGAAGTACTGGCTCGTCGCTCAAATCGTATGCAGATAGCAGGCCTCCGAGATAGCGAATGTTCGTCTCAAGAAGGTTACATCTTGGGTCCGTAGAGTTGTTCCAATCGATAGCGCCCACATACTGAACAGCGTCATTGAAGTCGTCGTGTAGGCCCATCAGCCACAGCGTATCGAGAGAATCGACCAGTGTAGCACCCCATCCGTTATACCGATTCCTTCCTCTCAGTGATAATGGTTGCAGCTCATCGTATCCCCAGGCATGTCTCACATAAGACTGCCAACTCTTCTTGAAAGCATTCCTGACCTCATGTCGGCGAGAACTCATGAGGCCAAGGTCCCTTCTCAAGCTGTCTGAACGTTCCGCCGCAAATTCGAACTGAATTCTGGGGAGCTCTAGTGGCTCTTCTGAGGGTAAGCGTGCCATCTCAGCGTCTGGCACTGGATGCTTCTGGGGGTGTGTAGACCAATCATAGCTGCTCGCGCTGTATGGAAAACTACTGCGTGGTATCGTCGGCTCCTCGACTTCCTCCTTCAAAAAGAGAAGACTGACAAAGACGAGTATGACAAACAAGGCAAGCACCCGATATGTCGGAGGAGAATTCCGTAAATGAAATTTCGCAACCATTTTGGATGAAATAAAACGGACTTAGACGTGGAAGCGAAACAAACACGGAAACATGAAAGCTGCAAGAGACAAGAGGAAACAGGCCAGCTCGGGTGGTTTTGTAAAAGAAAGGTCAGCCCTTCTCCGAGTCTCTCGTCATCGGACAGCAGCCGCGCGAAGCCCGTGGTGCAGGTCTTTTGCCATTTGCGGCGTTTGACGTCTCGAAGCTCTGCTGCTGTGGTGTGTGTCCTCCGTGAAACACGAAGGGAGACCCATGGTTCGTTGGCGCTGACCATGTGCTGTCCGTGCTGGGGAGATCCCCCGGACATACAGGACGTGGCCGTGGATGCGCTGCCGATGACCTCGCGATTGGACGCGCTCGGCGGTGGCTTGGATGCCGCTTGGCCCAGGATCGTGGGTGGGATGGGGGATATGGGATTTGCTGAAAACATGCAGATGAGCTGAGAATTTAGATCTTCATCCAGCATGACGGAGGATCACAGATGCGGGCGGTTGCGGATGCAACGTGGGTTGCACATCACGATCCATCTGCGTGGAGAAGATACCCTTGTCCGCGATGAATCGTTCAATGGTTCGCCATGTCGGATACGTAGATGCCATTCCATCTCCTCAGGGCCCATGTACTGACATGACAACACCGCAGCTGTCATGAGTCGTCTTCTGGAAGATGGCACCAGACTGGGTTGATGGCTCGAGCCGCGATAGCGTGTCGTTTCATGGTACCTGACATGTTTCAAGGGTTGAGAGCTGACTGAACCTAGTTGACGGGCTGCACGGCACACTTACGTAGCGGCCACAAGTGGGGAGAGTGGCTGACAACGGCTCGGGGGTGCAGGATGGGCACGGTGGTCCGCTGCAGAGAGCCCCACAACACGGCCCGAGTTTGTCGGCCGAGGGACGGACAGTGAAAGCGGGAACAGCGCCACACTGACAGAGTGATGTGGCTGGAGCTTGTTTCACCGCCTAAATTTTTCAAATTTCTGCCGCATCCCACCTCCCAGAAGCGCTAACCATCGTCGGCTTCTATTCACGCCTCCCAGCAACCAGATCACGAGCGGTGGTTTTGCGTCCAAAACAAAAGAATCATGTCGTCTATGCGAAATGCCGTACAGAGGCGCTCCCACAGGGAGCGTGCTCAACCTTTGGAGCGCCAAAGATTTGGTCTCCTCGAAAAACACAAGGTGCGTTAAACTTGGCCTCACGATGCGCGCCCGTCAAAGTCCGTTACTGACTATTTTTCCGAATTGCAGGATTACTCCCTCCGTGCCAAGGACTACAACAAGAAGAAGGAGACAATCAAGCACCTGCGCCAAAAAGCCTCTGAACGCAACGAAGATGAGTTCTACTTTGGCATGCTCAGCCGCTCCGGCCCAGGCTCGCGCCTCAAGGACGGCAAGAAATGGTCTGGCACCATCGCGGGTGACCGCGGCAACAAGGCCATGGATGTGGACACGGTGCGTCTGCTCAAGACGCAGGATGTCGGCTACATCCGCACCATGCGCAACGTAATCTCCAAGGAGGTGAAGCGCCTGGAGGAGCAGATCGTGCTCATTGGCGGCATCAACGCAACCACCACGAACGACGATAGCGACGACGACGAGACGAGTTCCGCAAAACCTGGAAAGATTGTTTTTGCCGAAAGCACCGAGGAGAGGGAACAGGCTATCGATAAGGAGGCAATGGAGCTGGACGACGCTGACGAGGACGAGTTCGAGGGATTCGACGATGAAGACAACGCCGAGGAGGAGGCGCAACGCAAAAAAGAGAAGAAGCTGCAATTATTACGTTTGCAGCTCCAAAACGCGAAGAAGAAACTCAAGATCTTGGCGAAGACAGAGGATCACCTCGAAATACAGCGGGCGAAGATGGCCAAGACGGCGACCTCGGGCGGTGTGACGAAGAAGGGCAAGAAGATTATGGTTCGGACGCGGAAGAGGTGAACACGGGATGCATGTTTCAGTCAAATTTGCGGTCGGCGAACAAAAGTTTCATGGTGTATTTTTTCGTGTTCTTCATTCATCCTAATATCTGAGCGGCGTGAGAAGCCACGCTCAGAAAGTCGTCATGCGATACCCAGGCCCCGGAGTATAGATCTAGATGTACAAGAAAAGAAATTCATCGCTCCTGTCCTCGTCCAGGACGAGGTCTCAAAAACGAAGCCCAATTATTCCCAACACCATGCGGCCCCAAAGAAATACTAGAAAAAAAGGAACCCGGATCAACAAAGTGGTATCTCATTATTGCATTCAATGCAAACTCATGCTTTTTTTCCCTGTCATCATTTCGACTTCACGCCAACACACCTCGCCAACCCCTTGACGATGGCAGCAAGCGCCTTGAAGCCAATCGTCAGGAACCACACGAAGCACTTGAAGAGAGCGGACAAGACTTTGAACAGCGCCCTCAACGGCCACGGCATCCTGTCGCGCGTCTCTTTTCCGACTTGTTCCAGCTTCGCGAAGCTGCCAAGGCTGCTGTCCTGGCTCTCGACGTCGATCTCAAACTCCTCCATCTTGCCCCTGCGCGCGGCGGCCGCACGCTTCTTCTCCTCCCGCTTGCTAAGCCGGCGTTCGCCGCCAGCAGGCTCGCGCGGTGCGGGAGGAGGCTCGAAAGTCTCGACCTTTGAGTTCTTCTCGTCGCTTGCCGCAACCAGCAGCAGCGCTGTGACGGCGACGTCGACGATGAAGAAGCTCTCAATCTTGGAGGCGATGGCCGTATCAACCTCGAGAAACCCAGCGCCCGTGCCATCACGGGTCAGCTTGGCGAGGTGCTGAGGCGACTCGTGGTGCTCCAATGTGTACTCGACCCGGCTCCAGGCGGGTGAGCGCTCAATGGTGACGCAGAAGGGCGTGGCCAACGCCGGGTGGACGACAAAGTGCGAGCTGGAGTCGTCGTCCCAGACGAGCCGTGCGCACTCCGTTTCCGCGGTGACGATGGCGGTCATGTCGTCTGGCCTGTCCAGGGCCATCTTAGCCGCTGCTTGCGGATAGAGAAGGGCAACCAGGCCGTCATTCGGAGGATGCTTGCGGGATTCTTCTTCGAGAGTGGTGGTGAGGACCTCTTGCCAGTGCTTGCTCTCAGTGCCTTTGCCGTTGTCCTTGTTGCCGACGACGCCGCTGAGGATGCTACTGGCTGAAGAGCCTGCCGTTGGGCTCGGGGCCTTGTAGACCTTGTTAGGGTCGTGCCGACTGAGAGCAACGTATGCGGATGCTGATGTAGGGTCGAGCCTGAGGTTGTAGAATGGCTGAGATGTTGAGGACAAGGTGTAGACCGGAGCATCCTTTTCCTGGGATAGCTTCATGCAGTACACTCTGCCTTCAGAAGGGGAGGCTTTCCAGCCGTTGGTGACCTTCCACATGTTCTTCATTTGCTCATTTGTCGAAACGTTGGGAATGATAGGAGGTTCGATCCTCCTTCTGGGCCATCTTGGCGCTGAACCGCCACTCATCGGACTTCTCACCGGGCTTCTGTGCTGAGCCTCTTGCCCATCCTCTTCTCGTTCCGGGTACCACGTTGTCCGATTAATGACAGCTCTGGGAATATGAGTTGGACTGGTCTGAGTCGGGAAGTACTCCTGTTGATTGAGTGGCACTTCGGGGTTATACTGGGGAAAGATGGACCGCAGAGCAGCAGGCTCTTGTGATGATGACGGCTCTCCAGGCAGGGGAAGCTTTGCTATTGAGCTGCGAGAGCGATGGCTGTTGCTCCGTGCTAGTGTTTGCGCCTGAGAGAAGGCAGTGTCTGACCGAGGCGGCACTTCAGCAGTGGGAGCAGGCCTTTGGACAGGCGAAACTGCCTCTGAAGGCAGTGGCGGCAACTCGCGGTTGATTGGTGAGGCGTGCTGCTCACTGGGCTGGGGTCGACGGATTTCTTGCGGTGTTTGCGATCGCTCAACCGGCGACTGCATCCTTTGCTGCGGCGTCTGTCTTCCATGGCGGGGTGGGGTTACCGAGTCGATGGTTTCCGGAGACACAGCCCGAGTCCGCGAGCGCTCGCGAGACTCTGATGTTCGAGTCCGAGATGCCGGTCTCCGTACCGTTGGGGGCTTGGTGTTGGGGTTCGGGAAGAGAGAGTACCCTCCAGAGGGTGGCTGAGCCGACATGATGGGCTGTGTTGCTTCTCGAATCGAACGTTGGGATTCCCCTTTGGTTAATGCTTTCCAGGCTCTTCACAAGTAAAGGGGGGATGCCACAATGGAATGAATAATAGGTAGTCCAACTGCTACCGATGCATGGTCCCAACAAGCCGGCAACTGAGAACAAACAGAACGTCGGTTTGTTATTGCGGCACTGGTCAAGATAACCAGATGAAAGGGGAAAAAGTCATGTCAACATACGATTGCCAACAGAACCACGAGAGTATATACTCTGCTGGCATTAAAGCGCCGGCACTACGGAGCATACTGGATTCAACTACGGCAGGTCGCCCACGGCAGACCTGGTAAGCGCTGGCTTGTCTGACGGGCCGCGGTGAGTGGTGAGAGCCAAGAAGATGGAGGGGATGGGCAGGAGGGTGGTCGAGTTGCCAGACGAAAATAGATTGCGAGATGCGGGCTGGGCCAATCAACCGGGCCATCACACTGCGTCCTAGCCGCCGAGACCAGGGGGTTGAGAGACAGGCGCGCGGGGTTGGTTGAACGCGAGCATTGTGCGATTGGTCAAGACCCCAAAATTGGTGCAACTTCTTCGACTCTGACCGCCTTGGCTAGTGAGATGCCGACCTGCACATCCCTTGGGCGCCGATGTGAAAATGCGACGCAGGAACGAAATGTGGCCGGCTGATTGAGCACCTCGCCTGGGTCTGGCTGCGTCTCTGCGCAGGGCCAGGCCAAATGCGGTCGGCATGCAGGTCTCCGTTCCAGGTAGCTTCGAAAAAGCAAAATCGGGCCATAATCCCTTGGAAAAGGCTCAATATCTAGTGTCAAGAGATCGAGAGTCTCCCGATGTAGAAAGCTTCATGTTTCGGCGCTGCTTCTAGTTAAGTCGCAAGATCAAGTCCGTTGCAAGTCTGAGGTGCTGTCGACAGAACTTGAGTACAAAGAATGCCTGGCCAACGACCCCATCTGCGGACTGAGGGTAAAATCAATAGTCCGGTGCAAATGAGGACCATCTTCGACCAAAATATGTATTGACCGGTAGTATCAGCCGGCGTCGGTGCGGCCTTCGGGTTAGAGTCCCGTTGACCGGAACCCCCAGTCTCGGCCGAACGCTCGCCAGACCGGGCACCCCCGGGAACAACTCCCGAGGTCGGCGTTGTTGGAGCCAAAGGTGGAGACCGGACCGCCGCTAAGTTGAGGATCGCGTTGGCTTCAGTAATACCTTTGACTCAACGACGATTGGATAAAACCCATATATTGGGTCAAGTCCATGGAGGTTTCATGCTATTTGAGCCTAGACACAGCAACATCGAGATTATATTACCGGAATCATGTCGCAGATCGTAGTCATCGGGTAATCACCCCACACAGCCCCTCCTGTCAGTGTGCAGCAGCTAACATGATCCAGCGCCGGCGTGATCGGACTGAGCACCGCCGTAAGACTCCAGCAAGAAGGAAACCAGGTCACGATTGTAGCCAAGGACTTTCCGAGCCCATTCGAGACCATTGATGCCAAGGCTTCAATCAACTACACATCGCAATGGGGCGGGGCGCACAATCGATGGGTGATACCGGCTAACAAGATGGAGGAGCGTGATCACGCCATGGCTCTGAGAACATTCCGACACATGGAGTCGCTCTTCAAAAGCAATCCCGAGGCTGGCATCACGTTCATGCCTGGTATCGAGTACCTCGAGGATCCTCCAGAGCAATATAAGGCGCTCACGGAGGAGAAAGCCAAAAGCCTTGGTTTGGTCGAGTTCAGGCGTCTGAGTCCCAGCGAGTTTCCCGATAACAAGGTGAAGTGGGGTTGCGAGTATAAGACATGGTGTGTCAACCCCATGATTTACTGCTCATTCCTCTTGCGTAAGTTCGCATGGAACGGAGGCAAGGTGATTCGCAAAGAGCTCAGCGACCCTCTTGAGGTCTTTGGTATCAAGGAGCTGTCAGACGCACGGACAGTCGTCAACTGCTCTGGCTTCGGATTTGGTGACAAGAACTCGTTCATCACCAGAGGTCTGTGATCCCTTGACTTCTCCGCAGAGCGAGTCTTCTAAAACATTTCCAGGGCAAACTTGTGCAGTGGCCAACTTCAGCCCGGCAACAGTGACGCGACAGAATGCGGATGGATCTTGGACGTTTTGTGTGCCTAGGAACTTTGACGGCGGTACCATCGTTGGAGGCACCAAGGAGCCAGACAATTGGGACGTTGAGCCATCGCTAGAATTGCGGGAACAGATCCTGAAGACCTTTGCTGCCACCTACCCTGCCATTCTGGGTGACAGCGGCGAATATCGCGTTCTCAAAGACGTTGTTGGCCGTCGACCTACGCGCAGAGGAGGCTTGAGACTTGAGCGAGAGGATGTAAGTGATGGCCGGACCATCATCCACGCATATGGGCTTGGTGGAAGAGGATTCGAGTTGTCCTGGGGCATGGCCGAGGCCGCCCTCGGGTTGCTTCAACATCAAAAACCCAGAGCGCGTCTGTAGGAGCGCAATTGAATATGTCGCGATTGTGATTGGCAGTTTGTTGTTGGCTGGGATGCCAACCTAAAATGTCCCGTCGATAAGGTGATCATGCTGTGGACCCTGGCACCATAGTAGAGATTGTTGCGACATCGGCCACAATCATCGGCGACAAATTTTGAGAATAGACTGGTTCGGACGACCGTTTGGTGGCTGCAGGCTCGGTACCTGCATGACATGCCGATTGGCATGAGCGGACATGCTTGATTTGGCGGATAAATCACCGGCAGCAGCTGGGAAAAAAGATTTTTTTTTTTTTGGTTGACGGGATGGAAGGAGCTGAGGCCAGGGCAAAAACTTTGAGTCACTGCCATCTCATTGTAAGGTACCCCGCGCTCCGAAGGCGGTGTACGAACCCCTACTGTAACTCGGCCCTGTAGGAGTCAGAGGTGGGATGTTTTACCTTGCCATCCGTAGACTCATAACTACCCCACCATCATCATACTTCAAGCTCCTCTCCCCAACACCTTCCTCGACGTCGCGATATTTGCCCTCGACACATAAAATTGCGCAATTGAGTCAATCCAGGTCAATTCTTTTCTCTGCGAAGACTGCGACAATGTCTGCCCCTATCATCCACCTTCGCGCCGAGACCAAGGTTTGTCTACTCTTGTCGCAATTGCTTTGGGCTGCCCCTCGAAGTGACCTCGAGAGTGTAATTGCTAACGACTCTTAAGTGGTTGGAGCACCGCAGTGCCCTCACCCCGAGCACGACCCGAGCCCTCATCAAGGCTGGATACGAGATTCACGTCGAGAAGAACCCCCAGCAGAAGGAGTACCAAAGGTTCTTCCGCGATGAGGAGTTCGAGGAGGCTGGCGCTAAGCTTGTCGAGACCGGCTCATGGAAGGATGTCCCGACTGCCTCCTCCCCTGACGGCGGAAGATACTTCGTTCTGGGATTGAAGGAGATTGAGGAGGGAACGAGCCCTCTTGGCCACACCTACATTCACTTCCAAGTATGCAGCCCTGGATTTTGAACTTTTGAATCGCGCTAACTGGTGATAGCATTGCTACAAGCAGTACGATACCGTCAGCACTGAATAAAGCTCCCGTGTCTCTGTGACTGACAATGTATTAGGCAAGGTGGCTGGGCTGAGGCCCTGTCCCGTTACCCTCGCGGAAACGGCACACTCCTCGACTTGGAATTCTTGGCCGATGACTCCGGTCGCCGGGTGGCAGCTTTTGGCTGTGAGTAATTCTCAGCTGCTGAATATTTCCTTACTATATCACAGTCCTAACTGTATAATTAGTCCACGCTGGTTTCGCAGGTGCCGCGCTTGCGATCTCAAACTGGGCCTGGCAGCTCACTCACCCTGGCGAGCCCTACCCCAGCGTCGAGAGCTACCCCAACGAGGATGCTCTGATCGCAGACGTGAAGAAGGCGCTGGCTGAGGGTGTTGCCAAGGCAGGCTACACCCCGCGTGTCATGGTCATCGGAGCCCTTGGCCGTTGCGGACGTGGCGCAGTTGCCATGGCCGAGAAGGCTGGTATCGCAGATATCTTGAAGTGGGATATCCAGGAGACAACCGCTCCTGAGCGCAAGGGAAAGACCTTCCCGGAGATTGTTGAGTCTGACATCTTCGTCAACTGCATCTACCTCAACCAGCCCGTTGGCCACTTCGTCAACCACGAGTCTCTGAAGGCTCCTGGTCGCAAGCTGAGCGTTGTTTGCGACGTTAGGTTTGTTCACGACTCCTTCTATCCTCATGACCGCATGCTAACCGTTTTGGCGCAGTGCTGATACCACCAACCCCCACAACCCTAGTAAGTCGCAATCTCGTGAGCCACTCTCAGCTCGTACTAAGTGAAATTTTTTAGTCCCCATCTACACCGTCGCCACTACGTTCGACAAGCCTACGGTCCCCGTTGAGGGCTACGACAACCCGCCCCTGAGCGTCATCAGCATCGACCACCTGCCTAGTCTGCTGCCCCGTGAGGCTTCCGAAGCCTTCAGCAATGACCTGCTGCCTACTCTCCTGGAACTCAAGAACTGGCGCTCCAACCCGGTCTGGGTCCGCGCTACCAAGCTCTTCGAGGAGAAGGTTGCCACTCTTCCCGCCGAGTCCCTGGAGAACAAGGCCTAGTGGGCTCCGATCAAGTCGTATCTGTGTTTCTGAAATGGACTCTGGCGTTAATAGGGAGGAATCTTACGATTGCAAGGGCACAAAAGAGTCAACAAGACCTATGGGATTTGAAAGCTACATAGAAAAAAGATTAGACTGGGAATGCGGATGTCACTGAATAGAAAAGTTGCAGGTCTTCTCAGAAGAAGACTTTGGCAAATGTTCGATGATCATGACCGCCGTCCTTCGGCTTCGGCCCCCTTTTTGGTGATTTGTAGTCTACATGGTGTTGATATATTTATACACGCCGAAATGTCTGCGCCGTTAGAGCAGGGTGTCCCAAGCCACGAGTCCGGAACGCCCAACATATATGCATCTGAACTCTCTTCGGCCGGCCCCACGCCGACCACTTTTTCCAATACCCTTATCCTCTCGGGCTTACGATGCACTCATCCTCTCCCGCTCGTCCTCGTCTTCCTCTTCTTCCTCACCTCTTCGCAGCAGCAGCCGCCGCCGCCGCCTGCTCTTCCTCATACCGCTTCCGGTCCCGGGCAGCATACCCGCCAACCCTCTCGGCCATTCTCATCTTCTCCTCCTCCTTCCTCCTCGTCTCGGCATCCTTCTCGGGCAGACCCCACCACTCGCGGATGAAGTCCTCCTGCTGTGACTTCTTGACGGCCTTGCGCTCGCGCTCGCGCTGCCTCTCGAGTCTCTTGGCGAACCACTCCTCGCGCGCGGCGTCGTGGTTCTGTGGCGTGGCGTGCGCCTTCATGCACCCATTCATCGCGCGCAGCTGGTCGCTGCAGACGAAGGACACGGTGAATGTCCTGTTGAGAGCGCAATCTGCGAATGCTGTTTGCGGGCACAAGGTGTTAGCTAGCCTTCTCTACTGTATCGCTAGAAGTGACTGGCCCAGGTGTTCCCGCTGTAGTTCCCCCGCCTAGGTAGGCTGACGTGGGAACGAGGGGTTGGTGGAGGAGACGGGGGAAACGTTACCCTTGATTTCGGGCGCACAGGCGCTGCGTACACGCTGGTGGTAGATATCTCTGATCTGCGCCTCCTGGGATGCCGATAAGGGGAGCGGGTTGCGCGAGGGCATCGGCAGGCCCTCGCCGGCGCCGCCGGTCGGATTCGGAGCCGCCATCGCGGCCATCAACGAATGTCCCGGGGGAAGATCTGCGTTCGACACCCACTGGGGGTCCTGCTTTTTGAATCGGTTGCTCGGAAACGACACCGCAGGTCGTGCTTGTGCGTGTTCGCCCTTCGATCGGTTGCCGTTTCTCTCGTCGTTGGCGGGCGATTGGGTTTGCGCGGGTGGTTCGATAGTGGCCCGTCGTCGAAGGTGGGTAAATCCAGAGCGACAGAGCTCTCGGATGGAAGTGTCCGTGCATTCGGACGGAGCTTGCTAATTGAGACTTTTTGCCGCCGGAGGAGCCTCACCGCCTTCCCTTCCCACACGGCTGCGAAGAACTACAAGCAACAAGAAGAAAAGAGATAGTATATTGACGACGATATTAGTTTCTCGAATTTTGTTGCGTAATGCCGTGTTTCTTTTGTTATTGGGTTTATACCGCACCTTGAAGTGGAACTCTTCTCAAAAAGTGCAACAAGAGACAATAAGGTAAAATGGAATCGCGGAGTTTTTGCTTTTATTTCTTTTTTGTCGAAGAGCACTACGTAGCTAAGACTGCCTGGTAATTGACGCTGGGACTCAAATGTCCTTCTTTTCTTCATCAACATCGCTATCGAGGGCCCGGTGTGATGACTCGGGGGTTTCCTTGTTGTCCTTGCCCTTCTTCTTCATGGAAAACTTGCTGCTCCAGCCCGTCATTCTGCTTTCCTTCGACTCCTTGGACTTGGACGGGCCAAAGGAGGGGCTGCCGGAGACGCTTTCATAGCTGCGACCGAGCAGACCCTCCTCACCGTAATCGTCAATGTCGCCGAAGCTAGATCTCTCCGCTGACATGTTCTTGTCCGAGTTCGTGGTGCTTCCGGGGCCCTTCTTAAAGAGCCCGGATTCCTTACTCAGCCGAGAAGACAGACTAAACTTGCTAGAGCTTCCTTTCCTAAAGAGCTTGCGGACAACATTTTCCTGATCTTTGGCGATGGAGTTGGGGTCAGAAAGCGTGCTGGATAACGCTCGATCCAAGGTCAAAGACTCTCGAGATTCAGAGACCGACGTTTGCGTGTGGATGGAGAAGGCATCGCGAGACTTTCTGGACTCATTCGGAGAAGAATCGTAACCTTGGGGCAAGTCGAGGCTGGGAGCGGAAGCATCTCTGCCCTTTGCTTTTTCCTTCGTGTCCTTGCCCTTGTCCTTGGACTTATCCTTGGATTTGGGTTTGTCCTTGTCTTTGCTCGGGTCGCCGTCCTTCTCCTTCCAACCGAACAAACCTCCGATAAAAGTCGGTGCTGCAGGATTGAGACGCCCACTCAAAGTTCTAGCGTCTGCAGTCAATTTGTTGCCTGGTGGTCTGCTTCCGATGACACCGACTTGACTGGGGTCTTTCAGCACCTCGTCGCGGAGAATCTCATCTTGTTCTGACGCCAAGGTTGTCTTCAAAGCCGCAGGGGAGCCGTGGATCGAAGGTCGCCTAGACGGGTTCCGAGAAGTCCACATACTATTGTCTGTCCAGAAGCGACTCTTGTCTCCCGGGTGACCCCAGATAGAGGGTCGGCTATCTGTGGATGGGCGTGGCATATCTGCCGATGCCATGGAAGCAGGTCTCGGGCTGCTTGGATCGCGATCCGCAAAGACACCTCCAAAAGGCACGAGACGCCTAGCTGACGATAGCATACCTTTGGGTACGAGCGATGATGTGCTTCCTTCAAGAGTCTCTGGTCCAGCAGAATTCCGATTCTGCGTGTACGATGAGAAACTAGTCCGGCGTCTGTTTGATGGCTCTGAATCGTCGGTTTGCCGTGGGAAAGATTGGCTTTGACCATGCTTCAGACTACCAAGAAGTGGGCCGCCTTCCTCGGCACTCTTCCCGCCTCTGTTACGTTGGAAAGACGCGAACAGGTTTCCAAGCCGGTGCCCCGACGGCGACGGCTGTGCGCCCGAAGAAGCAGCCACATCTTTAAGGGATGCGTGGTCGGCGATATCTGAGGACAAAGGAGGGAAGTTCTGCTGGTGGGATGACCCCGGAGGACTAGAATGTGCACTTTTGGAATTGCCGGACGGCGCTGGCGAATGAGCATCGTTGTGCTGATCTGGCGCGAAAGGACTCCTTCGAGAAAACGAGTTGGGGCTATGAGGCTCATCATCGAAGTCGTCGCCTAAAATTCCGGATGGCAGCAGCATCTGGGCTGTGGGGCTCAACGGAGCGCCCGCAGTGAGGGCTCGCATGTCTGCTTCAAGAAACTGTTCCGTTGGTAATCCCTCGTTGGCCTGCATGTCTCCGAACTGACCGTACCCCGAACGACTCCCGAAACCGCTTGGAGGGCCATACGGAGAATCCGAAGCGGAGTAAAGTCCAGTCGGAGACGGAACGGCCGCGTTCGACATTGAATTTCCGGTTCGGCTTCTTCGCTTGATCTGTACCGGTACGTTCTGTTCAAAGTCGACGCCGGAGGAATTCGCTTGGTTGAAGAAATTGATGCCTTGCTGAGTTGCAGCATACATTTGAGCGTTTAGCATATGCAAGTGCCCGTCGAGTTGCTGAGCTTTCCTGTTCTCCATGATAAGCTGACTCTGGAGCTCTCTCCGCTTGGTCTCGAAGTCCCTTTTCATCTTCCGGTCGTCTTCTCGCCAGGTATCGTCTTCTTCTCCACCGGGAAGTTTCTTGCGTTCGTCTTCGAGTTCCTTCAGTTGTTGCCTCTTTTCTTTGTACTCGGCCTCAAGCTGATCAAACTCCTCTTGGAGAGCCGCGTTCTCTTCGATCAGAGTTTTCACTTTGAGATCGCGGTCTTTCTCCAGGTTTTCCTTTTCGGCAGCAAAACCCTCGCGCGTCTTGCGCATGTTCTCGATATCGGTAGTCCACTTATCGATGTTGTCGCGGACCTTCTTGAGCTTATCTTGCTTCTCCTTGAGTTGATTCTCCTTCTTCGCCTTGTCCTTGCTGGCTTGGCGCATTTGTTCGTAACTAGCCTTGACCTTCTGCTTGAGCTGTGCGGTGGCATCATCCTTCTCCTTTTGTACTCTCTTCTTCTCATCCCTCTCTTTTTTGAGACGCTGTTCAAGTTGCCTGAACTCGGTCTCCTCGGTCGTGTGCAGTGCAGCCGTATCGTCAATCTCCTTCCGTTGCTTTTCGAGAGTGTCGGCCAAATCCTTCAGTGACGCCTCGGGATGGTCGCCCGACAGATCTTTGATAGTTGGCTGTTCCTGGCTCGCTATAGATGGGGAGTGTCGTCGGTTGACGGTGTTGCGTCTCTGGCCGGCACTGGTTGCGGGTTCCCGTGCGGTGGCCGATCCGGGTTCGAGGGAGGGCGCCGCCTCGATGGTAGGAACCTGACTGCGTCCGCCATTCTCTTCAGTGCACTGGGAATGACTGGATCGGGGTTCTTGGTCCTGAAAGCTGTCGGGCAAACGGGAGTTTCCTAGCTCTGGCCGTCCATCGGATCGATATGTGCGTAATCGTATGACTTGGCTCCCGGCTTGGAAGTTATTCGGACCGACCGCGATGACGCGAATGTTGTAGCAATGATTGGGCCTGAGGCCGGTTACAGTAATCGCCGTTTCCTCAGATCTCGATTCGCCAACTGCAGCACTTTGTCAGAACCCCACAACACAGCGCACGACAGGCCTCGTTGGCTGGACTAACCATTGACACCATTGACCTGTATCAGAAACTTTTGTACAGGCCGGTTGTGAGAGGGGCGCGTCCAGTTGAGGGTAGCGGCGTCGTTCTTAATACCGGCCAGGGATACATCGGGGGCTTCGGGAACGTCGACTCCAAGAATGCTAATCAAGTCGGTGGTGGGCTTCCAGAGGGTCTGCCAGGCACGGTGAAGCAGCCTAGACGGGGACGTGTCAGTCGCATGGGCGCAAGGAAGACAGGCGGCAGGGAGGTGGCAGTAGGATCGCATGTGCAAGGCAGGGCGGAGCAACTTACCATATGACTGCGGCGAGTGTCACCAACATGCTGGCATGTCGAAGAAGCAACTCATCTAGACTCCAGTACCGGATGCTCTCGCGGGTGTAGTGGACGGACCAGGCAAGGCAGAGGGAGGCGTAGAGGGGGGCGACGAGATAGAATACGGCGGCTGAGGCGGCGTAGAGTAAGGCTTTGTAGAAGCGGCCCTGAGGTCGTTTAAGCCACCAAGCGATGAGGAAGCTGACGAAGAGGATTTTCACGAACAGGGTCCATAACATCGCCGCGTCGAGCCGGTAAGGAAAAGGAAAAGAAACAGGAGCCTAACCAGAACCAAAACCAGAAAAAAGGAGCGGAGGTACGAAAGAAAAAGCGAAGGATGAGACCGTTCGCCTGTCCTCTCTCGCTGGGGGGGAAATTCTGGGTGGGAGGGCGGTAACAGAGATCGGTCAAGAAGCGAATGGGAGAGGATGGAAGAAAATCTCGGCAGTTGGAGCGCAGTCTGCGGCGGCGACGTCGACCACGAGCCAAGCCAAACGGGACCCAACCCGATCCAGGGCGGGCGGGCAGGCTCAGGTCTGGCTCTGACAACCTCCACTACATGGGAGGACTGGAGCGCTAACCAGCGACACCACTCTCCCACTGTACAGGTACAGGGTGTACTGTGTTGCACCACCTCACCTAGAGGGTTCCCGTCAACCAATGTCCTTGCACCGTGTATCGCGGCAAGGGGCCTGCACAGTGCGGATGCAGGCGATCAGGACATGCCCCTACACGCATATTCGTGCCTACTTTACCACTGGCGACGGATGCCGGCCGGGCAATTTGGGGCTGAAAGGATGGAAACGGGGAGGGCTTAATGATGGAGGGGCGGTAAGGCAGGGCAGGCCTGCAGAGGAGGCAGCACTCGAGAATGAGGCACGAGAGTCACTTCCCGGGTAGGTAGTCCTATCATATGTAGGCAGCCGTAAAGCAAGAATGGTGGAAATGAGAGCAGGTAAGGTAGACAGACTGAGGAGGGGTTCAGTCGCTATTATGTCTTTTTTCCTTTCTTTTCTCGAATTAAACTCATCTTGTCTTTCCGTATATCAAAGCCTAATTTCAAGCGGGC